AAAGAAAACACAACAAAAAAAAAAAAAAAAAAATTGAGCCAATGGGTGGCATGGTGTTTGGGGTGCTGAATTCCCATATGGCTGACTGAGGTTCAAGTCTCAGACCTGGCAGCTTGAAAACCACAACAAATAAATAGCTTAATAAATAAATGTTTAAAAGAAATTCTAAAAAAAAAAAAAACAACAAACTTTTCTTTTTAATTGTACATAATGAAAGTACCATAAACAAAGTAAAAGAAATAGCAAACTAGGAACATGTGTATAATTCAATTCATAGACAAAAGGCTAATTTCTTTTAGATACTAAATTCTCCCACTCGACCATACATCATAGACGTACGTGCCTAGAGAAAAACGTGGGAAAAGTAAATGAAGTCAGTTCACACAACTGGTAAAAAAAAAATGGTTTTTAAACACAGAAAATGGAAATAAGCCTTATTCATGAAAAGAGGACACTCGATGTTATTCTCATTAAAAACTGATAAGATCCAAGAATAAAAGGTTGTTTTAAAAATTGTTTCTGTGGGACCAGCAGTTAGCGTAATGGCTATGTCGCTGGACTCCCACATAGTCGACCGTGGTTCGCGTCCCGGACCCGGTGGCTTAAAACTCACGCTGGGCACGTGTGCGTGCGTGCCCAAGATCCCGAGAGGAGAATGGAGGAGAAGGGATTGCGGCGTGACCATCCCCCCTGGGGGGTGATTTCTCGCTTTCTGTCTCTAATGTCTCTCTCTTGTCTGTCTGGCGAGTGCACGCGCCCTCTAGTGAAAATCTCTCAAAAACAAAAACAAAAAACAAAAATTGTTTCTGTGAATTATATTTTGATTTCGTATCATGTCTCTCCATATTATACATATAGTTATTTCCTGGAGTTCCCTCTCTTTAAATCACATGCAGCTTACAGGATTCAATATTCCCTGTTAAAATTGTGATTATGACAGAAATATAGAGAGCAAACCACAGAAGTTTCTCCAGACATCCCCTTCCCCAAACCTGTCTCTGACATAATCTCTACTAGCAAAGAAAGGTGTAGTCAGAGGCTAGCAGGTAGCATAGTGGTTAAGGCGCTGGACTCACATGTAGTCGACCACTGTTCAAATCCTGGACCCAGTGGCTTGAAAATCACACCGGGCATGTGTTAGTGCGTGCCCAAAATCCCAGGAAGAGAATGGAGGAGAAGGAATTTCAGCATGGCCATTTCCCTGGGGGATGATTTCTCACTTTCCCTCTCACAGTCTATCTCTGGCTTGTACACATGCCTTTTGGCAAAAAGAAAAAAAAAAAACTTAAAAAAAAATTGGCATAGCCTTTTAAACTTTTCCCTTGGATTCACATACATGAATTTCCCTAGACACACATGGGATTTGTTCACAGAAATGAGATCGTATTATGAACATTGTATGACAAGTTACATTTTTCACTTAATGGGACTCAAACCATAGTTGGCCATGGGGAAGTTGAGTGTTTTAGCCATCTCACCACCTGCTGGCCCCGGTGAAGTCCAGTTTTAAGATAAGCTTAGAAGGAAAAAGTAGCTAACTATTTAACTAAGTCTGCAGTGAGAAAGTACTTCTAAGAACGAAAACAGTGTTATCATCGCAAAGCGAAAACCCAGCTTTGACAATAGGGAGTAGGAAGCCTTGATTATTGATAAAATACAACAACATTTAAAATACAGCAAAAGAATGAGAAAAAAAATAATAGGCAAAGAAAGCGGCAAAAATTAATAAAATACCCAAACAGAAAATTGTGTCAACAGATAGTTCATAGGAGAAGAAATGGAAAAGCCAATAAACATGTGCAAAGTTTCGCTTTTATAATAAAATAAATGCAATATGTCTCCATATTTGCATAATACAAAGGAGGCATCGAAAAGTTTGTGGAAAACATGTACTGTGGAAAAACTATGCATAGATTTCAGAAATTGTTTGCACCAAAATAAACTTGTTCTTTACTGTCATTTTTCTTGTACTTTCTTTTCTTTTTTTTTTTTTTCTGAGAGGTTTTTGCTATAGGGCGCGTGCGCTCGCCAGAAAAACAGAGAGAGACAGAGAGACGGAAAGCAAGAAATCACGCCCCAGGGGGGATGGCCACACCACAATCCCTTTTCCTCCATTGTCCTCTCGGGATCTTGGGCATGCACACACACGCGTGAGTTTAAGCCACTGGGTCCGGGACTCGAACCGTGGTCAACTATGTGGGAGTCCAGCAACATAGCCATTACACTAACTACTGGTCCTGACCTTTCCTTTTTAAAGTTAAAGCATCAACAACAAAACTTACCAGAATGTTCATGGGCTTGCCAGATAGGGAGAGAGAGAAAGTACCACCGATGAGACATGGTCATCCCTCAATTCCCTTCTCCATTTCTCCATCCTGTTAGGGTTTCAGGCAGGTATGCACATGCACGTGGACCTGAGTGTTTTTCAAGCCACCAGTTCCAGGACTTAAACCACATGGTCGGCCATGTGGGCTCTGGCTCTCTCAACCATCAGGCAATGGAGCCAGTCCTCCATGAATTGTTCAAGGTTCCGTTATATATAGTATTTCAGACGTTTATATTTGCGTAAACGTTATTGGATTGTATATCTCATCTACGTAATTTTGACTCAGCATCTTCTATCCAGGAGACTGGATATACATCTAGTTCAAATTTTTTTTTCTTTTTTTTTTTGAGAGATTTTTACTATAGGGTGCTTGCGCTAGCCAGAAAGACAGAGAGACAGAAAGCGAGAAATCACCCCTCAGGGGGAATGGCCACGCCGCAATCCCTTCTCCTTCATTCTCCTCTCGGGATCTTGGGCATGCATGCACACGTGCCTGGCATGTGTTTAAGCCACCGGGTCTGGGACTCAAACCATGGTTGACTACATGGGAGTCCAGTGACATAGCCATTCTCCAACTGCTGGTCCCCAAATTTTGTTTTCTAATTCTTACAGAGTATGCCAAAGCGTACATTTTCCTTCTCTATTCCATTGGAGATGGACGCCTAAGTAGCTTCTAACTCCTTGCTTTGACAAATGAGGCTATGGTGAGCATCTTAAGCCCTACCCCATTTTGGACTTGTGCAGTAAGGTCACTGGGAGATATACCCAGAAATAAGCCTGCTGGAGCCCAACATAAACACTACTAGGTCATGACAGATTACCTTCTAGGTTGGCTGTATTGATTTATGTTCCCATGAGTGCTCCTATTTCCCTCCTTCCTGGCTGAGACTGGGTAGTATCCAACTTTGTAATTGACACCAATTCCATGAGTGTAGAGCAGTATCTCATGGTATTTTTCTGTTTCCTTGATTATTAAGTTTACTGCCTTATCTGTTCTTTGCATATCCTAGTATTATATTCCTTGCTGATTTGAGCAAATTTTTTGGCCTGATTATGATGTTATTCCTGTAATGGATCAGATATATGAAAACTGAGTAATTTTCCATCTTGCTGTACTCACAGGTATTTTTTGTCCATTATCAACACTTGTTTTTAAATTTTTATTTATTTATTTAAATTTGATCAGAGAGGGACAGAGTGAGAGAGAGAGAAGGAAAATGAGAAAGCAAGCTGCCAGGTCCAGGACTTGAACCACGGTCAGCCATGTGGGAGTCCAGCGCCCTTAACCACCATGACACCTTGCTGGCTCCTAATTTTAATTTATTTTATATATTCACAAACTATATATCTTATCAACACTTTTTAAAATTTTCAGTTTGAAAATAGTTACACATATTGGAACAATGTGTAGCTATCTACTTGCAATAGAATCAAGTTGAACCCCTACTTCACATCATATAAAGAAAATGAACTCAAAGTGAACCAATGACCTAAACACAAGAGCTAAAAACCATAAAAGTCTTGGAAAAATATATAGAGGTAAATCTTAATGACCTTGGATTTAGCAATGGATTCACCAAAAGTATGAGCAACAAAGAAAAAAAAAAAAGATAAGTTGGACTCAATTGAAATGAATAACTTCTGTACATCAAATAGAATTATCTAGAAAGTGAAAAGACAACCTAAAGAATGGGAGAAAATATTTACAAGTCGTATATCTGACAGGAGTCTATTACTCAGAATATATAAGGAATTCTTAACTCAAAAAGACAGTCTAATTTTTTTTCTTAATGAGCAAACAGCTTGAGTAGACATTACTCCAAAGAAGTTAAACGTATGAATCTCAGTCATTTACTTATAAGCCATCCGAATGGCCAATAAGCATATGAGAAGATGCTCAATGTTATCGGTCATTGTGAAAATGCAAATCAAAAACACAAAACGCTATCACTTCACGCTCACTAGGATGGCCAAAACTTAAAACAGAGACAAAACAAAAAGGAAAATAATAAATGTTGGTGTGGAGGTAGAGAGAAATGGAAACTCTTCCACATTTCTGGTGAGAGTGTGACATGGTTCCGTTTTTGGCAGTTCCTGAAAACATAGTATTATATGATCAAGCACCTCCTTCTCCTGGGTATATAATCATACAGTGAAATACTAGTCATAAAAAGTAGTAAAGTAGTAATACACACTACAACATGAATGAATCCAGAAAACATGAGCAAGTAAAAGAAGCCAGACACAAAAGGTCACATACGATGTGATTTAATTTATATAAAATATCCAGCATAGATAAATCCATAAAGGGAAAAAGCAGATTGCTTTCCAGGGCTGGAGGGAGGAGGAAAGTAACTACTTATAGCTATAGTTTCCTTCTGATTTTATAAAAACATCTGGGAACTGGATAAAAATACTGATCACACAAAAGTGTTGGCATACAAAATAGCATTAAACAACTCACTTTAAACGGCTTATTTTTGTTATGTAAAAGTCACCTCAGTAAAAAAATAATTTTTAAACACACACACACACACAAATAGGTGATATCCAACCATTAAAAAATATATATAGATCCCAGTCCAGCCATGGTGGTGCAGGCAGTAGGGACGCTGATGCGTGATCCTGGAGAACACATGGAAAGGCTCCAGGTTCGTGTCCTGGGTCTACCTGGCTGGCTGCAGTGAGGACCCTATTAAGGTACCTCCCTCCCCTTTCTCTCTCAGAAAATAAATAAGCACTAAAAAAAAAATGTTACAAAGCTCATATATGGTTATTTTACTTATTATTGCACATAAGTGGTACATAGATAGGCAGGATGTAACTCCAACCCTTGCTGACATGAATGTCTAGTTGGAGGACCATCTAAAATATAACCCAGAAGATTAATAACTAAAGCGGTGTCCTCTGTGGGCAATGACAAGTTTACAGATGTACCTCTGGCCGTGCGTGGAGAAAGAGAAAACTGTCTTGGGAACCAGCAGTTAGCGTAATGGCTATGTCGCTGGACTCCCACGTAGTCGACCGCGGTTCGCGTCTCGGATCCGGTGGCTTAAATCTCACGCCGGGTGCGTGTGTGTGCGTGCCCAAGATCCCGAGAGGAGAATGGAGGAGAAGGGATTGCGGCGTGACCATCCCCCCTGGGGGGTGATTTCTCGCTTTCTGTCTCTACGTCTCTCTCTGTCTGTCTGGCGAGCGCACGCGCCCTATAGCAAAAACCTCTTCAAAAAAAAAAAAAAGTAAAAGAGAAAACTGTCTTGAAGAAGATGGCATTTGAAATGCGCTTTAAGGGTTGAATAAAGTTTTTACTGTTGGAGGTGGAGAAATACAGTATTGTGAAGAAAAGCGTCATCCCCACAAGAAGGTCACATGTTAAGTTCAGACACGAAACGCTGTAACCTGGTTGTCATAAGGGCTATATAAATTGGGCACAGATAAAAACTGGGTGTCAGAGGACCATGACCCTGTCCCCTGTGTCCTCGATACCTCACGCAGTATCTGGCATATACTCAGTGACTGGTAATTGTCAAAGATAAAAACAGGGCCAGCCCACGGTGTGGTGATTAACACGGCTGGACCCCATATGGCCCACCGCATGACTGAGTCCCAGACCAAAAGGCTCGAGGAGAAGGGACTGTGGCATGACCGCTCCCCACAGAGGTGGTTTCTCACTGCCCTCTCTCTCTCTTTCTCTCTCTGTCTCTGCCCAGCGAGCACGCGCATACGCCGGCAAGTTAAAAATAAAAATATGCATTAAAGAAACTTTTGTAAAACATCCAAGTGCCAGGAAACTAGTCATATAAAATAGCAGTGATATCTAGCAGCACTTATGACTACTCGGTGAGGCTGAGGGAGGTATGTGACAAGATTTGAGGCACCTGGAAAGCACAGTGTCACGGGTAGGATTTGCATGTGGAATGAGTGGGAAATACATTAGGGACCACCTAGGAAAACTGTGCACCTAAACTCAGTGTACTCCAAAACTCCTATGGGGTTTGAAGTGCATCTCAAATACAACAGCATCTGTTGTCCTAGGACCTTGAGTAAGGAGCAGAAATGAGTGGTCAGCACGGGGACAGCAGAGTATGCAGCATCACGACATTAGGCTGGAAAACCGTTCAGACAAATGAAACATCCACCCTCCTCTTTGCACTTGGCTTTCCAGATCCTCGCCGAGCTATAGACAAGGATCTGGGACACAGAAAGAGGGAAACGCTTCCACGCGCAGTAAGCACGCCCCTACGGGGACGAGAACCTGCCACAGAACAGAAGGGTGTTGGTTCTGTTGTGCCTGATGAAGAAGAGGAAGGGGTGGTCGGCACAGAAGCGAGGTCCAGAGACCAGACAACATTCCACCACCACAATGGCCGAAGCCGCCGCCGCCTCCGTGCCTTCCTCGTTCACCTCCACGAAACTCTTGTGCACAAACTTGGACAGACACAGATCGGTCTCAGCTGCCATTGCCGACAAGTCAGCCTTGCCCTGGACCAAGGCATCGACCATTCCCAAATGCCGAAGCACAGATTCCATGTCGTAATTCTCTTGCAGCTTAAATCTTGGGAGGAAAACTTCAACGTCGGTACTCTTCATACACTCTGGCTTGGTCCAGGCCATCAGTTTCTCAAAAGTGAGGCTTTCTTCCACCTGAAAGACCAGAAGGAGACTTTAAGTGTCAGGCTTTACTGAGATTGTACAAGCACACACCGTACCCACACCCACGCCGACACCCACGTCTCCTGGTTGCAGATGGACTGACAGGAAGTGGGGTGCTCTGCTCCTCACCGTGAGTCCCATGTGCTATTCCAAACACTAGTTCTGTGACAAGTAGGGAGACTCTAAGAAGACCACAGATAGGAAGACTGTGGCTGGCCTCTCCTCCCAAAACACTTCCAAGAAGTCATTTTTTAAAATATTTATTTATTTAATTCCATTTGCTATGATTATTTTTTAATTTGACCAGAGATGGATAAAGGTTAAGTGAGAGAGCAAGTCGCCAGGTCCAGGACTCGAACCACAGTCAGCCACGTGGGAGTCCAGCACCTTAACCACTACACCACCTGTCAGTCCCTAATATTATGTTTTTTTTAAGTTCTGTTATTTATTTCATGAGAGAGAGTCAGAGACAGAAAGAGAGAGGAAGCACCCTCAACAAGATCTCCTGCTACAATTCCTCTCTCCCCAGCCTTTCAGCCTTCCATGATCACAAGCAGCCTCGGAGTGTTCGGGTCAACCGGAACCAAATCCTGATCTTCCAGGTCAGGTTCGACAGATACAATCTGGTATGACACCACCTCAGGCCTCCAGGTTCTTGGATTTTAGGTTTGGCTATAGGGCACTTGTGCTCGCTGAAGAGAGACACACAGAGAGAAGTGAGCAATTACCCCTTAGAGGGATGACCACACCACAATCCCTTCGTCATTCTCTTCTCAAGATTCTGGGTGCACACACACACGCACCCCGTGTGTTTTTCAAGCTACCAGGTCTGGGCTCAAAGCATGCAGTTGGCCATGTGGGGTCTAGTCTTGTTAACCACCATGCTACAGCCTGGTCCAGTCCTTAGATTTAAATATGATGCCAATAGCAATGATTACGACAATAACGCATCCCATTTATAAAGAGTTTACTGTTTGCCAGATAATCCCGCTAAGTTTGGTTCCTGGATTCTCCCCCAATTTATCCTCGTACTATCCCTATCCAGAAGACATTATTACCCCATTCTGAGGATTGGAAAACAGAGGCTGAAATGGGTTTAGTAATTCAGTAAGGTCATGCAGATAACAATGGGCAAGCCGGCCTTGAACAAAGGTTCTATCCAAAGCCGAGCGCCCACACGCAACACAAAAGGCAAGGCCAGGAGGTGGAGACAGTGCTGAGTTCAGTCCCGGTAAGAAGGCAGCGGAAGATGTCACCCCCTTCTTGGCAGAAACGCAGAGGGGAAAGGCCTGCCAGCCGCCAGTGGAGCCTCACCGAGCTGAGATCCACGCCGTCGTCGGGCAGCAGAACCAGCATGCTCAGCTCCTGCCCCGCATACGGCAGCTCCAGCAGCTGCGCCCGCACCTCGCTGACACACGCCATGTTGAAGGTCCCTTCCTGAAACATCATCTGCACGGGCCTTTGCTCCTTCTGATGACAATGAACACATAAACTGAATTTAAAACAGAGCGTTCAAGAGGCAAGTAACATTTCCAAACAAGCTGCAGTGGGCTCCAGGATGCTGTCAACACCCATGAAAGAAACCACCATATTCATCGCCCAGGGCTGCTTACAAATGTCAGCTCGGGGACCAACAGTTGGCATAATGGGTATATCGCTGGACTCCCATGTAGTTGACCATGGTTCGAGTCCCGGACCCAGTGGCTTAAATTCATGCCTGGTGCGAGTGCTTGCATACCTAAGATCCAGAGAGGAGAAGGGATTGTGGCGTGGCCATCCACCCGGGGGGTGATTTCTTGCTTTCTGTCTCTCTGTCTCTCTGTCTTTCTGGCAAGCACATGCGCCCTATACTCTATATCAAAACCTTTCAAAAAAAAAAAAAAAGAAGGAAACAAAATGTAAGCTCACTCCTTCCCATCCCGTTAACATTCAACAGTCCTACCCTGGGAAAGAAGATGTGTATTCAGCAAAATAAAATGTGGTTCTCTAAATTGTGGAAGTCAGACTTCCTCCATTTAAAACATGCTCAGCATAGACATCTAAGAAAATAATAGAATCAAATATAATTATTTAGAACGGGCTTTAGAAAAACCTTTAGTTTTAAGAACCAGGTGGCAGTGACGGATGTAAAAAAATTATCAGAGTAGTAACAGAATACAAAAAATTGAAGGCAGGAAATATTTTCATTACTTCATTTCTTTTCCTACTGAGTTTAAATTAAATAGAAACTTATTTCTATTTTAATTAGGGAAAAAAGTGTTTTAAAAAAAGGGTGACAGGATGAACCGTGGGGCCACTAGTTGGCATGGACATTAAGGTGCTGGATTCCACATGGCTGAGTGCATAGTTCAAGTCCTGGACCTGGTGGCTTGAAAAACACACTGGGTGCGTGTGTATGCATGACCAAAACCCCAAGAGGAAAACGGAGGAGAAGGGATTGTGGCATAGCCATCCCCTTTGGGGGATGATTTCTCACTCCCCCATTCTATCTCTAGTGAATGTGTACACCCTATAGCAAAACTTCAAAAAAAAAAGTATTTTTTAGGGGTTGGGTAAATTGGTAAACTCTTCTAATGCTTGCTTTAATTATACCTCAGTATCAGTGTGAGGTCTTGACCATTCAATTTTAATATCAGAAATCTATAAATACTGGATTAATAATGATAAATTGATCATTTGAATCAGTACTCATTTTAGTTTTAAATATACCTAACTAAGACAAACATTTTCACAGTCTCTTTCTATTTCTTTACCCCACCCGCCCACGCATATGTAACACCTGGATTTTTGCTTTCTCTCTGAGCAATTGGAGCATAAAGGAAAATCATTAGTTTCGAGATCAAGGCGGCAGTAACAGATGGTAAGAAGTCAATGGAGGCATCACAGTAGTAAAACGCAAACATTCGAGCTGCAATATTTTTAGCACTTTAGTTTTCCTCTCCTGAGTTTAAAACTTTATACACAAATACGTTACGTTTCCAGATTATATTTAACCAGTTATTTATGGTTTTGCTTCGCTTTCCATTATCAGCCCCGTGTGCTTGACAGAGAGAGACAGAGTGAGAGAGGAAAAGTGAAAAAGTAGCTCCCTGGTGGGATGGCCATTCCACAATCCCCTCCCTATTCTGCTCTGAGGATTTCGGGCACACACACAAACATGTGTCCAGCAAGTTTTCCAAGCCTCTGGGTCTGGGACTCGAACTACATAGTCAGTCATGTGGGATCCAGTTGCTTTAATCACCATACTACCCATTGGACTCAGTCATTTGTTTTTACATTATGTTTTTCCATTCAATTTCTTCATCTAATGAGCATGACTTTTTCTTTTCTTTTCTTTTTTGAAGAGGTTTTTGCTATAGGGCGTGTGCACTCTCCAGAGAGACAGAGAGACAGAAAGCGAGAAATCACCCCCCAAGGGTGGATGGCCACACCACAATCCCTTCTCTCCCATTCTCCTCTCGGGATCTTGGGCACACATGCACATGCACCCGGCATGAGTGTAAGCCACTGGGTCTGGGACTCGAACCGGGGTCGACTACATGGGAGTCCAGTGACATAGCCATTATGCCAATTGCTGGTTCCTAGCATGACTTTTTCTAAGTTTCCCCATACCTGATTTATTTTGAAAGGCATTTCCCTCGTGTATGTTTTGTCAAATTCTTCATTCCACCTTCCTTTGAAGTAGATGGCGTTGACAAGAACTAGCCTCGTCTCTGTGTTAATTGCACTGACCGGCAACAGGTCTTGAATTTTACCTTTAGAGAAAAGTAGAGATTATATTCAGTTGCTTTTTATAAAAGTGTGATAAATAAACTACAATATGACATTTTACAGATGCTAGAGTATTAGTCAAGAATACTCGGTTTTCCCATTTGCTGAGTTGGGACTGTTACATGCAGAAGTCAAAAACAACGTACATGAGTAGAGTTCGTGACTACCGACCCATCAGGAACATCCCCTAAACTGAGGGTGGTGAAAGACCTCCACACTGTTCAAGGACAGCAGTTTGGTAGAAAATAGAAATACTATACCAGGCCTGAAAACAAGACCAGTGAGAAATGAGGGATGGGCTGGAAGGGCCACCATTATCCCACGTGGTTAAGTGGAGTGTTTGTTCTCATGCTCCTTGGTCGTGCTCAGTTCGGACATTCTATGTTTACCCATGAACATCTCAGGGGCAGCCAGAATAAATGGTTCAAAGGACAAAAAGCTGGCCATGAGCACATGAGGAATTTCTGGAATAAATATCACTATAGAGTCCTCTGAACAAAGCACCAGGCATCCCTGGAAAAGACAACGTGGGCAAGTAAATATATTCCCGTCTTCCCCTCATGTCAAGTGGCATCTTTTCAATGAACTAAGAGCATCCTTGCTAATTCATGGTCTCAAGAGAGCTTAAGTGAGGGACCAGCAGTTGGCGTAATGACTATGTTGCTGAGAATCTAAGAAGAAGTGGGGGAAATGACTGAGTCTTTAAGGAAAACTACCTCTCTTTACTGTCTCATTTGTTAGCAGAAATAGAAATATTTCTAGTGTAGGCATAATTGGTACAAGAGTATGAGTGGGTCAAACATTAGATTCTCTCTCTCTCTGTTTCTCTCTCTCTCTATCTTTTTAATTTTGCTATAGGGCAGGTGCTCTCATTGAAAAAATAAACAGAGAGAAAGTGAGAAAGCACCCCCAGGGAGAATGGTCACAGCACAATGCCCTTCTCCTCTACTAACTTCACAGGATTTGGGGCAACACGCACATGTGTCTGGTGTGTTTTTCAAATTGTTTGGTCTGGAACTTGAACCATCCACTTAGCCATGTGGGATACAATTGCTTAAACCACTGTGCCACTGGCTGGCCATATTAGACCATCATTGATCTTAAGGGCCAAGGATGGAACATGCCACTCTCTGAACTAGGAACAAATAAGGTTGAGCCCCAAATGGAGAGCGTTTCAGCCTGTAAAATCGGTCAGCCCTGAAAGAGGATCTGCAGCTACTTAGTCAAATCTAATTAAGGGAGTTTAAGGAGAAGATGTGAAAGAAGCCATAGAAAAAGTAACCTCAATAGATAGAGTAAAGGTAGCAGAGATAGAGGTCCCCACAAACTATAGGAAGAGGCAGCCCAAGGATGTGCCTCGCCAATCCCCTTCTCACAGAGACGACAGAATCACCTGACATGAAATTTTAAGGCTAGTAAAAGCATGCTTTAATAAAATGAAGACACCGGAAATCTGGCCAATAGGTTTCTTTTGACATTTGTATCAGCCACCATGATCCTGAGAGAATAGACAAGATTAAGTCTGTAAATCAGAACCTTTATGAGCTTTCTAAGGTCCAGATATGCTGCGAGGCCTAGTCAGTTGGCATCACTCTATCATCTGAAATACCAGTGAAATCAGAAGAGTAGGGAAAAGGGAGCAGTCGGACAAGGAAGAGAGGGAAGAGGAGGAGGCGGTGGAGGAGGAGGTGGACTGGAGTGGAAGGAGGGAGAAATAACTTGCAACACTGACCTTCAGTCTTTTTGGAGACCCAAGTGTTTATATGTTTCCTGGACTCCTCTGCAGCTTCCCTAAAGGAAAGCTGTTCTAACTCGGCCTGGTAGAACTGAAGACAGGACTCCTGGAACGTCTTTGGAGAGAAAAATGTTTAATGAGGCTGCATCGCTGAATAAAATGTCAGCAAGCTTCTGACAATTTTGAATACTATATTTCTCCCCACACCATTTTTTTCTAAATTATTAAAAAGATCGGATGTATTTCTTTGAATGGTATTTTTGTATACTAGATGTTAAAATATCAGTTTGTAAATAGACATGCATTGAGCCCTGAATACTCAAAGATGCATAAAAGAATATTAGAAGCAGTCACATTTTAAATAATGTGAGGTATAATTATAGGGTCATGGTTTCCTTTTTTTTTTTTTTTAATGTTACCATAAATTTCTCAATATCGCTAAGGTTTTTCTCCCAGGCTCTGTAATAACAGCAGGTGATCAGAATACAGCTTTTATTTTTTTTCAAAGAATTATTTATTTACTTTTATCATTCATTCATTTTATTTTAGAGAAAGAGGGAAAGTGAGAAAGCAAGCCACCAGGTCCAGGACTCGTACCATGGTCAGCCATGTGGGAGTGTCCAGTGCCTTAACCACCACGCCACCTGCTGGTCCCCAGAATACAGGCTTTTATTGATTCAACTTACCGAGAGGAATTTGCAAGTTTTCTCTCCAAAGAGCCTGTTGGCTATTCTCAGTAAGTACTGCGTGCCGGGTTTGTTCACTTCAGAGAGGAGTGACTGGAAACTCCGATGAATGTCTTTCTCTGTGTTTAAAGAAAGCGCCTGTTGAGAAAAATCATTTTTAAAAATCAGTATCGCCTTGTGGCTCAAAAACATTTTACAAGCATACCAGAGAGTTATGCCAGGGAGGGTGGAGAAAGGACAGAAAGCAGGTGAGCAAAAGATTTAGGACCAGCCAAGGTGGCACAGTGGTCACAGAGCGCTCTGTGACATGAAGGCACATAGGAATGTCCCCAGTTCCCATCTCAAGGTCTCCCTGCATGTGCTGGGGTGGGTGGGGGGGAGAGTGTGCCTATGGCCCAGGCTGGCTGACACTGGAGTTGGCTGACAACATGTGAATGAATCCTGCTAGGGGTGTTGTCTCCCTCTCTCACTCTCTCTCCATCCCTCTCTCAGGGAAGAAAGAAAGAAAGAAGCTTTAAAAAAAGAAATTTGGCTATTCTGTTGGAATACATCTCTCTTGTTTAAAGATGAGTAACAAGAGGGAACCAGCAGTTAGCGTAATGGCTATGTTGCTGGACTCCCACGTAGTCGACCGCGGTTCGTGTCCCGGACCCGGTGGCTTAAAACTCACGCCGGGCGCGTGTACGTGCGTGCCCAAGATCCCGAGAGGAGAATGGAGGAGAAGGGATTGCGGCGTGACCATCCCCACTGGGGGGTGATTTCTCGCTTTCTGTCTCTATGTCTCTCTCTGTCTGTCTGGCGAGCGCACGCGCCCTACAGTGAAAATCTCTCCAAAAAAAAAAAAGATGAGTAACAAGAAAAAGTGGAAGCGTGAGAGGTTCAGAAAAGGGGTTCTCACAAAATCTTTCAACTCGAGGAAAACATAAATGCACCCTAAGTAGAGGAAACCATACTTCTAAAATTAATTTTTATAACTATTGGAACCAGCAGTTGTAATGGCTACGTCGTTGGACTCCCATGTTGTCGACTACGGTTCGAGTCCCAGACCTGGTGGCTTAAAACTCACACTGGGCATGTGTGCGTGTGTGCCCAAGATCCCGAGAGGAGAATGGAGGAGAAGGGATTGTGGCGTGACCATCCCCCCTGGGGGGTGATTTCTCGCTTTCTGTCTTTCTGTCTCTCTCTGTCTCTCTGGTGAGCGCACACGCCCTATAACAAAAACCTCTCAAAAAAAAAGAAAAAAGAAAGAGAGAGAGTTCCTTATAAGGATTTATCGGTGAATCTAAGACATAGAAAGGATGATAAAGCATGAAGCATAAAGAATTTCCTTTCTACACATAAACCTTCAAGTCCTCACCCAATGAGCTGGGAAATTATGAAAATGAGTAATCATTACTGAAAAGGATCCCCAACGGAAAAGAAAGTCATATGGAAACAAAACGAACATTTTTACCATGAAGGTATGTATGTTCGGAGGAAGTTCAGGAGTGACATAATCTTTTAGGTTTTATTTCAGGCATGCATCTCCTGCCCCCTTCTGTCTCCTGCCCCCTCTGAGAGTCCCTGGGGACAGAGACTGATTCTCAATCACTTCCAGGTATTCAATGAAAGTTAAACTGCATTAACCGGAACACTGATATTCTGTGCATGTAACTAATCCTAACGTGCTTTTTAATCCTTCTTAGCATTTTTCTCTTTATCCCTCTACTGAGATAGGAAGGCATGCTGTTACAGAAATGACTAGAAACAAGCATTAACCTTCCTCACCAATAATAATTAGAAGTGCAAAGTCTTTTACTTCAAAAAGGAGACATTTCTTTATAATTTATGTTCCAAATAATTTTAGTGTCATTATTTTCTAAACAAAGAGAAAGAGTTGGGACAAAATTTTAATATTAATGACCTTCTCCAGGTCATTAATTGGGGAAACTTTCAAAAACAAAACAAAACAGATCTCAAGAGAGGAGAAGCCCTGTCTTTCTTCCCATTGTGGATCGGTTTGTATCCTCTTAAACACATATTGAAATCTATTTATTTACTTATTTTTCGTTTTTGCTATGCGGCATGTGTGCTTTTTGGAAAGAGAGAGAGAAAAGTGAGAAATCACCCCTCAGGAGAGTGGCTATACTATAATCCCTTCTCTTCCAGTCTCCTTCGAGATGTTGGGTATGTGCACACACCTGCCTGAAGTGATTTTCAAAGAGCCAGGTCTGGGTCTCAAACCATGCAGTCAGCCATGTGGGATCCAGCTACCCCAACCAACATGCCACTGGCTGGCCCAGCTCATGTTGAAATTTAACCCCCATTGTAACAATATTAAGAGGTGGGGCCTCGGGACCAGCAGATGGCAAAATAGTTACATCACTGGACTCCCCTGTAGATGAAAGTCCCAGACCCAGTGGCTTAAAACTCACACCAGACACGTGTGCATGTGTGCCCAAAATCCCAAGAGGAGAATGGAGGAGAAGGGACTGCAGTGTGGCCATCCCCCTAGGTGTGATTTCTTGCTTTCTTTCTCCTGGCCTCTGGCCTCGGGACCAGCAGATGGCAAAATAGTTACATCACTGGACTCCCCTGTAGATGAAAGTCCCAGACCCAGTGGCTTAAAACTCACACCAGACACGTGTGCATGTGTGCCCAAAATCCCAAGAGGAGAATGGAGGAGAAGGGACTGCAGTGTGGCCATCCCCCTAGGTGTGATTTCTTGCTTTCTTTCTCCTGGCCTCTCTCTGTCTCTGCAGTAGCACATGCATCCTATAGCAAATATCTCTCCTCAAAAAAAAAGAGGCGGGGCCTCATAAGAGACTGGGTTATGAGGGCAGGCTCTGTTGAACAAGTTAATGGATTAAGGCTGCTTGCATGGGAGTGGCTTTGCTATAAACTTGCCCTCTCACCATGTGGTGCTCTCTGCTGTATTACAATGCAGCCGGAAGGCCCTCTCAGGATGCAGCTCCTCAGTCTTGGACTACCCAGCCTCCAGAACCATGAGCCAAATAAACTTCTTTTCTGTACAGTATTCTGGGATAGCAACAGAAAATGACACTCCTCCTTTGCATCTTCTTCCCTATCCATCTCAATTTCCTGAAATGCTGTGTGCACCCATGAGACACCACACCCCACTCTCCTTCCTCAGCAGTCTGGGAGGTCCATAGGAAACTGGTGAATGAACACCACACAACAGCCACAACCAGTCCCTCCTCCAGGGTGACATTCAAGCTTACCTGGGCCATCTGGGCTGCAGTGTTTCCCTTTGCTCCCAGGAGGACCATGGCCAGGGCAGACGAGATGCTCACAGGAGAATAAAACACGTTATGCGAAGGGTTGTCTTGACATAGTATCTTTAACAGGTGGATAGCAAAGCTGCCATTTGCTTCAGAAAGAGT